GTTAATGTAAGTACGTGTGCGAACGTGTTTCTTTGTAATGCTTGCTAGTTGGTTGTCTTGTACGTATATGTTAATGTAAGTACGTGTGTGAATCTGTTTCTTTGTAATATATACTAGTGGTCTGATGGTCATCTTGTAGTATATGTTAATGTAAGTACGTGTGTGAATCTGTTTCTTTGTAATATATACTAGTGGTCAGATGGTCATCTTCTATGTAAATGTTAATGTAAGTATGTGTGTGAATGTGTTTCTTTGTAATATATACTAGTGGTCAGATGGTCATCTTCTATGTAAATATTAATGTAAGTACGTGTGTGAATGTGTTTCTTTGTAATGTTTGCTAGTGGTCAGATGGTTGTCTTGTATGTATATGTTACTGTAAGTACGTGTGCAAACATGTTTCTTTGTAACGTATGCTAGTGGTCAGATGGTCGTCTTGTACGTATATGTTAATGTCGAGAAAGGGGAGTGTTGTGTCGGATATTTTCCAAGTAAATTCTTAAGAGGGGTGGAAAGAGGAAGCAAAGTGTAGAAAAGTTTCCAAATTAGATTTAGGCATGGATGCAATCCCTAGGATGTTGTCAATGTTGCAACAATACATCATGGGGTACCATCCATTGTATTGATTAAATATAAAATTTTGTTAAACAAAGAGGTTGGTATAGGTGGGGCCAATATTAGTACCCATAATGACTCCAGATATCTGTTTGTAGTTACCATTAAAAGTAAAGGCGCTAAGTTTGAGTACAAGTTCAGCTCATTACCCAGCAGTAATGTCATTATAAACAGAACTATAATACCTAGAGTAAACAACTGTCATATAACTTATGAACAATAACTGTTGTCAGATGCAGGTAGCTGAAGGTGAACAACACTTATTTCTAGGTGTAATGTTACATCTAATGGTAATACAGGGATATAACTATATCATACAGTGAAAATGTATCCAATGTTAATTTCATGTTTTTATTATTATCATAAAGTGAAAATTATATGTCTAATGATAACATGGGGAGGGGAAATTTATATCATAAAGTGAAAATATGTGTAACTGCACAGTTATAGTAGCTGAAGTTGTTAAGAGCTAGTAAAAATAGCTAAAGGGACATAAAATGGGATTACCACTATAATATAAAATATTAAGATTTCAATCCTTTGGAGCTGCTCAATCACGATCACGAGTTAAATTACAAAAATTTACAACCTCATCACAGAAGTTTCAATGTCTTCAATTTTATTTATTTTTTAATAAATGTAGGTTCTAATGCTCCAAAGAAATATTTTACAAAGACTTCACCAGCTTTCTTATAAAATGTCAAATTTATTACTATTTAGTAAAATGTTAAAAATAAAGACCTAGTCCATGAAGTCGCGCAATGTGGCGTGAATCTTGTTGCTCAGTGTTAGCGGTCAGTCACTTCTCTTTTCGCCAACGATGTTACTTGTAGTAGAACTAGTACGAGCCTCCACCCTAAATTCATACCTTACGTTACACATTCTTCAAAAAACAACAACTAACCAACAATTTTACAGCATATTAGTAGGCTGATTAAGCCACGAAATATATAAAAAAAATAAAACAAAATTTATGTAACTGGAAATACGTACTCTTATGCTTTGATCTTCCAAATAAATTTGCAGGACTCTTTCTCACAGCCTTCAAAAATGATGCCATGCTGTTATGCTTATATGGTTACGCCACCTAACGAATGTTATGTCATCAGTCGTATTTGAAATTGTCAAGCTGCCTTTCATTATTTCAGCATAAGTTCAGAACTTCAAACGTTATTTCGAGAACAAGTATCTGTTTATTAAAAATCATCTTGAATAATATATTCAAAGTATGTCAACACTTTCTCGGGAATTTGTCAAGTATAAGAACAGCCTCTGTAGTTTATAAGTCCAATAACAAATATTGATAATAGTATTATTAATATAAGGAATTCGAAATTCAAATAGTCAAGGCTAAAGATATTATTATTTATTCTATAAATGAAATAGCTAGAATATAGAAAAAGTATGAAATTCACATAATAGTAAGTCAACCACGGAAAAGTTTTCAGTTTCAGTCCACTCATTTCATATCTCATGCACAAAACTACAACTACGAAATCGGAAGTCCGGCGACACTTTTGTTTCTAACAGCTGTTCTGCTGGGAATTGATAACATTCTGTTTTACATAAGAACGTGACACACGCTTTAGGACTAACATATGGCGAATCAATTGTAAGCTTGTGTTCATCTTCATGCAAATATTTACTATACTTTAAGATCTAGGGCCTTATCTTCACACTTTTTACCTGTCTATCTTCGAAATTAATAATTTATAAGATATTGCCCATTTTATGTTCTTAAAACAGAAAATAATAGAAATAATCATTGAAAACAACGTACGTACAAGATTAAAACATTCAGAGAGTTGAGGTTTCTGTCTTTAAACTTTTACATTTAGCAGTAGTAGGGAGACCTGTGATTGTCCCAACATATTGTTACGTCTCCGTTCGTTAATTAATTTTCCGTAAATTCGTTCCAACTAAACTTTAGCGACACAAGTCCTTTCTTAAAT